ATTTAACTATATAAGAGATGGAAACTGCTTTGAAACAAATGAAAAATGGTAAATCACCAGGTGTTGATGGTCTAACCATAGAATTTTATAAATGTTTTGGCATGAGTTGAAACAGCTTTTGTTGAATGCATATGAAGACTGTATAAAGAAGGGTCAATTATCCCCAACAATGAAAATTGGCTTAATAACTTTGTTACCCAAACCAAACAAGGATCTTTTAGAATTAGACAATTGGAGACCTATTACTTTATTATGTAATGATTATAAATTATTAGCTCTTGTTTATGCCAATAGAATCAAAGGTGTTTTGAGTAAATTAGTTGATGAATTTCAATCAGCTTTTATTAAAGGCAGAGTTATACAAAACAATGTTAGGTTAATTTTAGATATGTTAGACGATCACACCCTTACAAACTCAGAAAACGTATTTTTGTTTATTGATTTTTTTCAAGGCATTTGATTCCATTGAGCATGATTTTTTACTTCAATCACTACATATGTTTGGTTTTGGTGACAACTTTTGCCAAATAATTACAATGTTTTATAATGAAATTTATAGTTATGTTTCAGTACATCCTGGCATCAACCCAAGGATAAATGTCTCTTGTGGAATACGGCAAGGTTGCCCAATTTCCCCCAAACTATTTATTCTCTGTACACAACTAATGGCTTATCTCGTAATAAATAATCAAGATATGGAAGGAATTAAAATGTTTGACACTGAATTTAAAATAAGTCAGTTTGCTGATGATACTGTTATTTTTTGGAAAGATAAATCAATACTCAAGAAAGCCTTAGAAGTAATCTCGGTGTTCTCTCGAGCATCAGGTGTTTGTCTTAACCTCAAAAAATGTGAACTGTTTCCACTTTATGATTGTAATTATAATGAACTTCAGTCAATTCCTGTAAAAAATGAAATGAAATACTTAGGAATTCAACTATCCAGAGAGGTCAAAACAAGAGAATCAAAACATTTTAAGGAAAAAATAGAAGAAATGACAAAAAGTCTCAATCACTGGTTAACAAGAGATCTAACTATCTTTGGTCGAAACTTATTATCAAAATCAGAAGGTATCTCCAAGTTAATATATCCAAGCTATTCCCTATATATCACCCCACAAAATATTTAAAAAACAAATAGAATACTATATCAATTCATTTGGCACAATAAAACTCATTATATTAAAAAATCACAACTTCTTAAAGATTATAATAAAGGAGGTTTAAAAACTATTGACTTTGAATGCATGGTTGGTGTTTTCAGAGTTAATTGGATCAAATTTTTTTTAAAGTAACCCTGACTCTATATGGTTTGCTATCCCAAAAGGTATTTTGATAAATTGGGAGGAATGGATTTTCTTTTGAGATGTGACTTTGAAGTATCCAAATTGCCTGTAAAATTGTCTGAATACCACAAACAGATTCTTCACTATTGGAAGATGGCGTTTACTCATCATTTTTCTCCACATGGCTCCACCTTGTGGAATAATAGAGCTATTACATCTAACAGAAAAACTTTATTCATTCGAAGTTGGTATAAGAAGGATGTCATTTTAATCACAGACATACTAGATAGTCATGGTCAGATTCTTAACTTCCCTGAGTTCAAAACCAAATATGGCATTTAAAGTTCAAATAGAGAGTATCAAAAGTTTTGCAAAGCAATACCTATTGCTTTACTAAATTTAATTCAAAGTTACCTACATTACTCTAAAGGAACAATAACCTTGCCCAAAATTCAGCTAAACCAGGTTT